TTTTAGTTTTAGTAATTTTAGTACATTGTTAAATTAAATGAGAATGAGCAGGGAAGCTAGCTGAAATATATATTTATAGTTATGTTTTATTTCAGTATATTTAGAAATTGATTTTTTATGGTTTTAGTTAACTATAACTAGATGGTCAGAAATGAGTCCAAATCAAATCAAGTACTTTTTGTTCTGGATGGACCGACTGACATTCATTTATTTACATGATATGCAGAGACTGTTAAGACTCCAAACTATTATGTGTGTCTAATTATTGATCATGTTATATTACTTATATTGATTAGAAGTGCCACTTTCTGACAAGTCACTAGTATGAACTATGAACCATATGATTACAGGTGAATAATTATACAAGCGTAATAACTGAGGCCGCTCTTGATGAATGCGCTGTGAGACTGTGCTGGTTATGTAATGACAGACTCCTGACTTATGTAACAGGGTTAGGGGTTAGGACAGAACAGACAGAACAGCCAAAAGAGTAGAGTACAGTAGAGTAGAACATGTAAAATAATACATGATTCACTTCTTATAAGAGAAGCAAAACATAACTAAACTAATCCTATTTAGCTTGAGAGCGCTGTGAAATTTCATAGTCATATTGTGAAGAAAGTATAATTAAATCAAGCAGATAAATAAAACCGTATATAGAGCATTATTATAACAAGTGTCATTTAAACAAACACATCATACAAAGCATCATGAAAACCATGCTCATGTGATGAACTAGAGCTGTGATTGCTTTGTTAGGACACCTGTGTCAACAATAAACCAGTCAGGTCCACAAACTTTCACAAGACAAATTAAAAACTAGGACATGACGTCATGCCGACATCACAAGGCAGCCTGCTGAATGAGAACGAGAGAGAGCAGGTGCTGTTTAATCAAACTCAACTCCTGCTGATAGATATTACTCAACAACACACCACACCACACAAACACGCTCAACACAATCCAAAGCCAGCGCTCAGACCCAAACCAGCAGAAAGAGTACAAGTCCAAAATGTTCCCAGATGACAGTTCTCAGAGTCACAGCAGGTCATTGGTCAATGTTTAATTAAAAGTTCATTTTCCTCCAGACTGTGTGAAGATTACAGAACTAGACAGCAGAGTCAGTGCAATAAGAACAGTCCAGAACAGTGATCCTAACCACAATTTAAGACGATTCATTCAAAAAGCGATTTTAGTAGGGCTGTACTGCAAAGACTTAAACTAAGACATACATAAAATGCTTTACCTATTTATTAATGCTAACTTATTTAAATCGGGTGGATGTTAAAAGATGAAAGGAAAATCAACCTGAACAGACAAGTAAATAATATAAAATAAAATAATGAAATAATGTAAAAAATAATAAAATAACATGAAAAGAACAGAAAAGGAAAAGAAAAAACAAAAATAAAATCAAGTAAAGAAAAGGAAGTAATAAAATAAAAAATGGGAAAAATAATATAAAATAAAATAGAAATAACAAAAGAAAAGAAAAGAAAAGAAAAGAAAAGAAAATATGAAAAGAACAGAAAAGACAGGAAAATAAAAAACAAAAATTAAATTAAATAAAGAAAAGAAAAGGAAGTAATAAAATAAAAAATGGGAAAAATAATATAAAATAAAATAGAAATATAAAAGAGAATAAAATAAAATATGAAAAGAAAAGAAAAGAAAGGAAAAGAAAAACTAAAATTAAATAAAATAAAGAAAAGAAAGTAATAAAATAAAAAATGGGGAAAATAATATAAAATGTAATAGAAATAATAAAATAAAAGAAAAGAAAAAGAAAAAGAAAAGAAAAGAAAAGAAAATATGAAAAGAAAAGAAAAGAAAAGAAAAGAAAGGAAAAGAAAAACAAAAACTAAATTAAATGAAAAAAAGGAAAAAATTAAATTAAAAAACGGGGAAAATAATATAAAATAGAAATAGAAATAATAAAAGAAAAGAAAAGAAACATGAAAATAAAATAAAATAAAATAAAATAAAATAAAGGAAAGGAAAAGAAAAAACTCAAATAAAAGTAAATAAAGAAAAGGAAGTAATAAAAAATGGGAAAGAATATAAAATAGAAATATAAATAGAAATAATAAAAGAAAAGAAAAGAAAACATGAAAAGAAAAGAAAGGAAAAGAGAAAACTAAAATAAAAGTAAATAACGAAAAGGAAGTAATAAAATAAATAATGGGAAAAATAATATAAAATAAAATAGAAATAATAAAAGAAAAGAAAAGAAAACACGAAAAGAAAAGAAAAGAAAGGAAAAGAAAAAACAAAAATTAAATTAAATAAAGAAAATGAAGTAATAAAATAAAAAATGGGAAAAATAATATACAATAGAAATAGAAATAATAAATGAAAAGAAAAGAAAACATGAAAAGAAAAGAAAGGAAAAGAAAAAACTAAAATAAAAGTAAATAAAGAAAAGGAAGTAATAAAAAATGGGAAAGAATATAAAATAGAAATAGAAATAAGAAAAGAAAAGAAAACATGAAAAGAAAAGAAAGGAAAAGAAAAAACTAAAATAAAAGTAAATAAAGAAAAGGAAGTAATAAAATAAATAATGGGAAAAATAATATAAAATAAAATAGAAATAATAGAAGAAAAGAAAAGAAAAGAAAACATGAAAAGAAAAGAAAAGAAAAGAAAAGAAAGGAAAACATGGAAAGAAAAGAAAGGAAAAGAAAAAACAAAAGTACAATTAAATAAAGAAAATGAAGTAATAAAATTAAAAAATGGGAAAAATAATATAAAATAGAAATATAAATAATAAAATAAAATAAAATAAAATAAAACATGAAAAGAAAAGAAAGGAAAAGAAAAGAAAAAAGAAAAAGAAAAGTAAATAAAGAAAAGGAAGTAATATAATAAAAAATGGGAAAATAATATAATATAAAATAAAATAAAAATAATTTAAAAAAAGAATAAAATAAAATAAAATTAAATTAAATAAAAGAACTGCTACTACACTGCTATTTCACTGTTCTGGGTTCTGAAAGTATATTTCTCAGAGATACAGAGATCTTTCTACAGAGATATTTCAGAAAGTTTTAAACTGTCTGAATGAAGACTTTACAGAAATTAAATGGCATTGAATGAAACTCTACTGTTAAATATGGAAGTCTGTAAAAAGGTAATTGCGACTTTTTATCTCACAATACTTTTTCTTGCAATGACGAGTTTATATTCAATTCAGACTTTCAGAATTTGGGATATAAAATCGGAATTGCAAGAAAATATCTCAGAATTACAAAAAAAAAGCACAATTACCTTTTTTTTTTTTAATTTTATTTTCTGGTGGTGGAAACAAGTTAAGCACTGGACTTTACTAAGCACATGCAACAAGCTTTATGTAGGGAGTTTTTTTTGTTTTTAAATGTCACTGAGCATCTAGTTCTGGTCGGTGTTCAGCAGATGTGTTCAGTCTGCTTCCTCGTCCGCACCATCTGCTTGGCAAAGTATCAGGTCTCCGTAGCGATCGAGAGGAAAGGTGGGTTGCTAGGTGATTTGGGGTCTCAGAAGGAGAAGATCACGCGTCAGAAAGGACATAAAGGTCACATGGGCTTGATGTGAAAGGTCTCGCAGATTGCAGGGCTTTATCACTCTCTAAACAGTATTAAGAGCCTGTGTGTTCTCACGCTGAGGATCGCAGGCAGACGAGCCACTTCGACACATACAGGTGCAAAACAGACAACACAGCAGATACAACAGACAATCATCTAAGCTGTCCGAACACTGCTTTCCATCGAGTTTCATCTCCATTTACAATATCACAATCGCAAATGATTCCTTGTGAAGCGACACAAATATCAGACCCAGTGATATCCAGAACTCATAAATAGAAGATATCCACATACATCATCATTTTATGTTATAAGACATGAGAGAACCAATCATATCCCATACAGCAAGCAAATAAATAAATAAATACATACATACGAAATATATTTTAAATATATGCTAAATATGTGTTGTAAACAGTGAAGCTCATTGAAAATATTTTTGAAACTGAAAATATATTTAGTTTCAATCTTCATATACCAAAATATTTTTCAAAATGCATCAAGAAAATACATTTCCAATCTTACAGTAACTTTAACATTTAGGCTAAATGTAATAGCCTACTAGAGATCAAAACTAGATTAATAACGACATAATAATAATATTTAAATTTTTAATATAGTGTAATATTGTCTTTTTATAACATTCTAAGGTACGTTTCTTGCTGATTTTCTTCAAATGTGACAAGTTCATGTTAGTTTTTGTTCAAATGTTACATATGTCAATGCATTTTCTTGGAGTGAAATTTATGGAGGACAAAATGTATATACAATATATTAAATGTTTTTAATAAAAATATTAATAATTTACATAAATATATTTTGAAACATATTTTAGCAAACATATTTCTTGCCGATTATTTTGAAATATATTTACAAATACACAGATTTTGTACAGATATTTGAATGCATTTAACGTGATTAATATTTGAAAGCTACGGCTGAGATTTTCATGAAATAAAGGCTGAAATTTCAGTTTGTTCCTCAGACAAATTTGTTGTATTACTAATCGTCTGTTCCTGCCTACTGTCTGCTTTTTCCATTTTTGGAAAAGATCATCAGGAACATTCTTCAAAACATCTCCTTTTGCGCTCTACAGAAACCCAAATGGTTTCAAATGTGTTGGGAAAGACATGAGGGAGAGTAAATAATGACATAATTTTCATTTCTGGGTGAACTATCACTTTAAACATGATAGTAAAAAAAGAGGGTGTGTTTGTCAGTGTGAGTCGACTGTGTTAATAATCCACTTCATGCCACTGATATCAACCTCAGTTTAACATGTAAATGGACACACACACACACACACATTATAATAACTACCATCTGAGAGACAGCTGCTGTGCTTTAGTAAAACTCATTTCACTTGTAGCATTTTAAATTATTACAACTTACAACAAATAACAGGAAATAACACATGCAAAAAACAGTTTTCAGTCTTACAGCAGAGTGCTTAACTTGTCTCCACACCAGTGTGATCACAGAAAACCGGCTCATACATTCTGTCAGTAAAGTCCTAATATCCTCTGTCTCTCTCACACACACACACACACACACACACACATAGAGACCATTATACTACACTTGGATTATAGAGTCAAGCAAGAAATAGAAACGATCAGATGAAGCTCACTTACACGACTGCTCTCTTTGAAAAGTTTAAAACTCATCCACTTTGGCATGACGACTTATCTGTCCTCTTTCCACGACTATATCTGCCCTTGCTTTCTCTCTCTCTCTCTCTTCTCCCTCCCTCCCTCCGTCTCTCTTTCTGAAGCGTCTCTGATTGGCTGAGTTCAGCGTTCAGTAGAGGTTAAAGGCTCAGTAATGCTGCTCTTCTCATTAGTGAACACCTTTGGTTGTGTCTCACGTGTGTGAATAAATAAATAAATAAACTAACTTTATTAAATTTTTTAAATCATTTTCTAATTCTATTAAATGTCTTGAAGTTCACAAACTATGACTTTAGTGTATACATTAATTTTACGCATTGCATTTAAGGCTCATTTTGAGTATAAAGTTTGTGCTTTCTGCAATAATTATTGCAAGTATAATGGTTTAGTTGATTTTTTGATTTTGTTGATTTTTCATATTGGGTGTACTTTAACCATTGTGACGACAACTTTCGGAAACATTTAAAGCCTTGTTTCCACCGAGTGGTACGGTACAGTACAGTGCGATTCGGGACTGAACACCCTGATCCGGCTTGCATTTCCATCGTCAACAGTACCCTCACTCGATAGGCGTGGTGTCTGCCGGAAAGTAGCGATCGACGTCATTCTTGTGCGAAGAAGAATGCATGATATTGTGTGTAAGGGAGTGAAAATATTACATTCTAAACTACACTGTTATATTTTTTGTGTTTGCACATTCTGATGTAAACAAGCCCAACACGTATGAGCAGCAACCCTTGTGTTGTCACTCCCCTTGTAGTACGCGCAAGTGACGATTCTCTGTCAACCAATCAAAGTTCTGCAGTGAGTCTAGCTCCACCCTTTAGGTACCGGACTACTGTGCTAGGTACCCCAACGGAAGGGTCCCAACAAAGTGGTACAGTTCGCTATTTTGGCACCATTCACATCTTCTGAGAAAGGAAATGGAAATAATTGCGTACCGCACTGTACTCTACTGCTCGGTGGAAAACGAGCCATACATTTGCGTGCAAAACAATCCTGCACCCTGTTCAGGTCGTCACATACAGAAGTACATACCGTACAAACTAATCTGACATGAACAGTTAGTATGTGAATACCTTGAAACCAATAGCACATGGTTTCTATCTCAATGTAAGAATGACTGTGTGACTCTTGCTGATGCGAGTGATTTAAATCAAAGACATCTGTCACAACTCACATTTGCTTTTAAAATAATTCTTTAGCCAAAGGGGGAAAACTGCATATTTTAATGAAAAATCTGAATACGGTTTTATCTTCAGATGAATCCAGCAAGAAATATCTAATGCTGTATGATGGTCTTGTGACATGCATTCAGCACTGAGCTGTTCGAATAAAAGCATCATTATGAAGTATAATGAATGTGATTTCCACAACGTACAGTAATAAACAGACCCTGAGCTGTTGTGAGTGAATGAAGGAAACTCTAATTTCACAGACACAGACGCACTCGCGGACACACGGACACACAGACACACAGACACACAGAAACACAGACACACAGACACACAGACACACAGAAACACAGACACACAGACACACAGACACACAGAAACGTCGTTCTAGCTGTTTGATTGGGAAAAGGGCGTGGAGGGGTCTTGTCTTTATGTTATCTGACTAAAAACTATTACTTTGAACTTATATTATTACATTATTTATTTAAAAAACGTAGAGTGCCTTAAAAATAATTATCACAACTAGCACTTTAACCCTCTTAGGCTGTTCTTTGGATGCTTGTGTTAATTTTTTTATCTTATTTACCCCAAGTTTTTAAATAATTGCACTTGGCAGTTGGGCAAGACCCTTGGCAGTAGGGCTGTGCGATATGGACAAAAAAAACCTATCGCGATTTCTTTGATCAATTTTATATGCACCACAGACGGAGTGTGTGGACCTGGCGTTACGTTTGTATGCCCGCCCGGTCTGTTCTGTTCTCGTGCTGCATTCAGATTGGTTCGGATAGCATACTGCGGGAGGTCGGGGGCGTGGAAAATCATGCTATAAAGCGATTTAGAAATCGCGCAAGCTCAAATCGTGATTTTATGACGATTTCGATTAATCGCACAGCCCTACTTGGCAGACCCTTTTGGTGTAACCAAACCCTTTCTTTTTCTTTTTTTAATGAAATAACACCAATTTCCTTTAAGTAGAAATAATAAAATTATGCACTTCTTTTGGGATTTTAGATTTCAGCATCATTTGTTGTATATATACAGTATATTATACAACACATTAAAAATTGCTCTGTGTTAGGCTCTTACTTATTCATTCCCAATGGTAAGTTAATTTTGACAGTGAACAGCCAAGGTGTTAAACCTTTCAAATTATTTATTCTTTTTATTTATTTTTTTCAGTCACCAAGTTTTGAAGTGAGGAAACATTTTAATGAAGGACAAAAAAAATATCCGTTCCAAATTTACTGTGTGGCCTAGGAGAGTTTAAGAGGATAAGAGGGTTTTAGCATGCGGACAGAAGAAAACCAGTATACAAAAGAAGAAAAAAATCTAGCTAAACTCATTTGTCAACCATAATAAACAATCTGTTGGTTGCTGGATGATTATTCAAGTAGTCAGCCATCATGATCCAACCCAAAACAATTTACTGCATTCGGAGACTCCACTGGCTCATTATAAAGTCAATCTATGTCACACATACACTATTAAGGCATTAATATATTCTGCTGCTTCCTCTTTTACAAAACAACACAAAAACCCAGAGAACAGTCAACATTTAGTTGTGTAGAATTCAAACAGAGTAAGTGCACTACACAGAGTATATTCAGATCCTACCAGGATCTTCTGCTCTCAGAGGAAACTGGAGAAGGAAATGATACTCCTCCAAACAGAGTCAAGAGTTGGACCACACTCACTCAAAGACATGTTCTCCTCTGAGCAAAAGCAAGTCACAGTGATGTGGTCATCACCAAAACGAACAAACCTCACAACACAAACACGCACAACTCATAAAACACAACAAGCTATTATGAAAGTGCCTGAAAACACCAGCACAAACACGTGCTGTTTGGAGGACATGTGTTCACTGTGTCTTACTTTGATTTGATAGGGCGCCTCATAGCTCCTATGAGGGCTGAATCCAGCACACAGTTTGAAGAGGCTTTTCATGGCTGAACATGACTGTTTAACATCTGTTTACTGCTCACGACCGCTGTGCTCATCCTCTGTGCTGGAGCATGACAGCCCCTGCTCCATAACTAAAGCAGGGAAACCCTGTGTGACATACACCTGTCAATCACTGATCACCTGACCCTTCAGGGGGTGGAGTCTGGAGTTTGGGTCTGGAAAGATATGCTTCGGATCTGCATACTAGCACACTACTCTTTGGTGATGTTTACATGAACTACTAAAACGGAACTACACTGAACAAAATTATAAACGCAACACTTTTGTTTTTGCCCCCATTTTTCATGAGCTGAACTCAAAGATCTAAGACTTTTTCTATGTACACCAACACAATCTCATTGCCTTCATAACTATTTGAAGTTTTGGCAAATCCTTATTCCCATATGGTCACATTTTAACAAGCGAATTGAGCTTGCATGAGGAGAGACACGATGGGAAATGTTTATACATGAACATAAGCCTCCTGCATTGTCATGCATAAATGGGTATGAATATTCATGAATGTAGTGTTTTGTCTCATTCTTTCTACAGATTTACATTTAGCCATTTAGCAGATGCTTGCATCCAAAGAGACATACAAATGATTTGATCGCAACAAACAAAGCAGAATCTACAAATAGCAACGTTTACAACTGCAGCAGCATTTTGAGAGCTGAGATTATTATTGCATTATGAATTAATTCAGCGTTTCATTTTTAGGACTGGAATAGTGTGTGTGTCTGACCTCTTGCTGTTGTTGCGGGGTTTGGCTGGGGTTTTGGGAGCATGGATCGGTTCCTTTAGCGCCCCCTTCAGGTGAATGATTCTCTCCTGAATGACCTCTCGGATGTTTTTAATCCATTCTTGCTTCACCTCAATACTGGATGCCTGACACAGACACAGTCATGCACATTACAAACAGAAGATTCCAACAGGACGACACAACAATCATGAAAAAAGCAGGACATGTTAATGAAAATCTTTGCTCACATGCAATTTCACTGACTGGAACATGCTTATGAATACGTACCACTCTAATAAAAGTAATTTATTAATAATAAAATGATGTAATGTACCTTCAGGACAGTCTTGTTGTCGGATGAGGGTGTGCGTCCCACCCACAGGGCAAATTTACACGGGTCTCCTTCCACATGTTCTGTCACCCCCAATTCAGAAGTCTGCAAATGCAGAAAAATCAGAACATCACACACAGATATTAAAATGAATTCAGTATGCATGGAAATGTATTTAATGGCATAAGAGTATGGAGTATTTAAGACTGAGATAACCTAAGAGTGAACTTTACTGAAAGCGGAACTCTAATAAATTTGTCTGACAAAATTGAAAGCATTTCCTCAGTAAAATCCTAAGCAGAGTCTTAAAATGTGTTTGTGAGACAATTCCAGATGACCAGAGAAAAAAGCAAAGGCACATCTGGATCTGTTCACAGGCATACTGAGCACAGAGAGAGGGGTGACAAACGCCCCATCTGGTCCACACACCTGCACGGGCTGCTTCCAGGTATGTGTGGAGACACTTAACAGAGTTGCACAATGCGGTAAAACAGAATTCAGACATAACTGTGTTCATGTCTGACCCTCCCATTATTAATTATAATCAATATTAATTAATTTATTCATTCATTTATTTGAGAAATAACTATATTATATGCTTTTTTATATTTATTATATTTAGAATTTAAATCATAATATAAATTTTAATTAAGGCAGAAGTTTTTTTTTTTTAAGAAATAGCCACACATTATACAGATATAATGTTACTCGCTTCATGACAGTTTTATTATTATTTCATGAATTATAAATTTAGCAGTTTTGAAGGACTATGGCATGTAGAGGTTTGTTTTTAGTTTTCAACCAATTTTAAACAATGCCTTTAAAACTTACAAATAAATCTGGGCCATTTTTTTTTACAAAACCTCATCCATATTGGATAACTTTACCTTAGTGACATACATATTTTACATATTTTCAACAACAATATGCAATAAAAGACAGAATACCAAATGTCTCGAACATTTTGTGGACTTTTATTTTGTAAAGAAATTAATACTTTTATTCAGCAACAATGTGATTAAATTTGATTAAAATTGACATGTATAATTACAAAAGGTCTATATTTCAAATAAATAAATCCCTTTCTATTAAATTTTCACTATCTCAACCATTAATTAAATATTCACATAGAAAACTTATTTTAAATTGTAGCAAAATTTCACAATCTTACTGTATTTACTGCATTTTTGATCAGGTAAATGCAGCCTTTGTGAGTATAACATACTTCTCTCTATTATCTTAACAACTTCTTAACATTCAAAAATCTTACAAAACCCAAACTTTTGAATGGTAGTGTATGTGATGAATGTACGTGAGATGCAATGAAAATGCAGTGACATTGTGTGTGTGTGTGTGTGTGTGTGTGTGTGTGTGTGTGTAGACTGAGTGATATAACTAAATACCAGTAGTTTGTTCTTGTAGATGTATTTGGATCGTCCCGCTGAGTCTTTGATTTCTTTGCTGAAGACGAGGGAGATCTCGAAGAGGAAGAGGTGGCGGTCTCGTCCCTTACGGATCAGAGATTTGGGGTCCCACACCTGGAAGGTGTCCTGCAGGATGAGTTCACCCTGAACATCCAGATTCTCATCAAAACCTGACGGAAGAAAACATCACGCCAGAGGTTGAAGGTTAAGCGGATCAGTGGAAAAGACTCATAAGTGTGTGTGTGTGTGTGTGTGTGTGTGTGTGTGTGTTTGTGTGTGCGTGTGAAACTTCTGAATCCCATCCATCACCTGAGCAGGACTGGAGCGCAGCTGCACACCATCCACGATCAGCAGCTGTTCACAGGATAAAACACACATCACACACACTGATGCAGCTCAACACACCTGCTCTAGACCATTATGGGATGATTTTGAACGAGTGTAGGTTCACTTATCGTGATCTAATGACTTAAGGAAGCCCAAACTTGTGCGTGTGTGTTTGTTTGTTTGTGTGTGTGTGTGTGTGTGCGTGTGTGTGTTCGGTGGTGTTGTACCCTCAAGCATGCTGACGTGCATGGCGTCGTTGGCTCTCTTTGGCACACTCAACATGACCTCCAGCCCGTCCTTAATTTCACCTTTACCTTCTTCACAGCAGGACAGCAGCTCCTGTAAGCACACACACTGTACTGTACTGTACTGTACACACTACACAGCATCTGACCTTCTTAAAAACACACGATACCTTGAGCAGCAGCTGGTATTTGGTGATTCTCTGCACAGGTTTGATGAGGTATGATGATATAGAGTAATTTTAAGTCTGCTGAAAAAACAAGACTCTTCTATTTATCATTCTGGGATTAACTCAATTGTTGATTGGTGTGAGAAAACAGAGGAAATCATTTTTGATCCTAAGGGTATTGGAGATCATATGCCTGTATTTGTTCACAATCAAGAAATTACACAGGTGCAACCATACAAGTATTTAGGAGTGCATATAGATAAATATCTCATGTGGGACACTCGTGTTAATTGGGTTTGTGCTAGCTAATGAATATGCTAGCTAATGAGTCTATTACAAATTTCCCCTTCTGAGACAATAAAGTATATTTCATTTAATTTCACTGACCAGCTGAATACAGTGACATGCTCAGGGTCAGAGACTCACTGACTCCATCTACTGACCACTTCATTGTGCTCTGATGAGTAATTTCATTTCAGCTACATTTACTTTAGTTCAATAATATTTTAAAACATGTGGGCAATTTGCTGAAGATATAAAATAAGACAAAATATATTCAGAGTTATTAAATTATTGATTGAGAAAACTCATCTGTACTTACGTCAAAAAAACTCCCAGCATGCTCTAGGATGAGCTGACTGGAATCTGGTTTGTTTTTGCAGTATGTCACGTAAATATTAAACTTATCAGCCTGAAACACAAGCACATAAGCTTTAATTTACCAAAATTAATTAATTTAATTAACATATCAAAGGAAAACAGAAAGAGCTTCCATATAATATTCGCAGCGTTTATTGATTGTCATAATTCTTGCTATAAAAAAAAATCAGTTAGCTGGATCTGAATGTCTTAAGTATGTCCTAATAGTTTATGCATATGAGCAAAAATAAAATAAAATAAAATAAAATAAAATAAAATAAAATAAAATAAAATAAAATAAAATAAAATAAAATAAAATAAAATAAAATAAAATTAAATTCTGAATAAATAGGGTTTAGGGTTAGTTGCTTGTAATTATGTATAATTAACTGCTATTATTATAGTAGGTACATATAACATGGACACTGTAAAATAAAGTGTTACTATAAAACAATGTTTTTCTCAATTGTTTGTTTAAAAAAAACACATAAATTGTATGAGATGTTAGGTGCACAACAACATAAATCGTTTCCTGAGCAAATGTAATGACATGCAGGTGCTTTAGAAACACTCACCCATGTAACAAAGCAATGGCCCACATCCTCGGGTAACTGCTCATAATTGATCAGCTCTTTCACGAATATACTATAACACACACAAAACAACATGCAAATGAGTCCTAATCACTGCATTTCCATAACACAAGCGATACACAATTTGCATATGTATAATTTTAATTGGAAAGCATATTAGCCAACTCTATCATCTGCAAAAACAAGAAGACAGTGCGTATTCTGATAAAAAGCATTCATTCATTAATAGTTGATTAAATGAGAGAAACTCACTTATTATGGAAGTCGTAAATCTCCTGGATGTTTCCAAAGATGATGTGCTCTTTGTTGGCGATTCCTGGAGGGATTTCCTCTACGCCGTTGGTCATCTCCCACAAATACGTCTAATAAATACATCACACGAAGAGAAGTGAGTAGACATATAGTAGGAAATTACTGTCTGCTATTAATGGCATGCAATATCTCAATGTACAGTACATGTACAGTAAAGACCTTCAGCATCTTACACAGGTCATATCATGGCAAACATGTATTTCTTCTGAAATAATGGAGTTTGGTGTACATATAGACAGAAATACAGAAGACTTAAAGGTAGAGTAGCAAAAGTGTTTAAATGTAAGAATCAGGATGTATTATTATTATTAATAAAAGTGAAACACTTACCTCTAAACATTCGTGTAAGTCCCTCACATAAGCCTTTTCTGTCTGTAACAGCTCTGCTATAATAAACCTGCAACAGTACAAAGCAGCGGTCGATTATAAGAGTATTCAGTCTGAAACTGTGATGTGTGTGTGTGTGATGTGTGTGTGTGTGTGTGTGAACTGGTTTTTGCTAAATGACCTGGTTTTAGCTGGGTTTAACTGGATTTTAGCTGTTTTTTTTAATTGAATCAGCTGGTTTTTGCTAAATCAACTGGTTTTAAATGGTTTTAGCCATTTTTTTAATAGTTATTATTATTATTATTATTATGTAAAATGATCTACATAATGATAATAATTTTTGGCTAGGTGCAGTACCTCAGAGCTGATGCCCAGCGTGTTCTCCAGACTGCAGCGGTATTTGCTCATACGCAGGGAGAAATCTCTGTAGCGCTTGTCCACTGCTGTCACCCACTTCTTCAGCTCGGTGACGTGCGTGTGCCCTTTCTCCACAAAATTATCTGCCAGCTGGATCAACATCTTCACTTTCTCCTTTGTTTGCTGTGGCACACATGGACATTATGTGTGTGAGCGTGCAGTTTGTTCATTACGCTCAAAAGAATGACTTGTCCGAAGAGTTCAAGTGGCAGCATGTGTCACACATTAGAGACGAACATGAAAAGCAAGAGGAAGAGGTGAGGGGAAGTGTTTGTGCCTCTGTACCTTGGCAGAGACGCGGAATTCTTCATATTCTCTCAGCAGTTCCTGAGTTTTCTCCACCGAGTCTCCTGGGGACGTGTGAGAGGCGAGATACACCTCTCCTGCCTCCTCGATCCACTCTAACGCCTGACACAGAGACAGACAGACTCACACACAAAGACCCAATATAGAATATTCTAATACTCTTAACAAAGTGAATGTGTGAACTAATGATCCGAATGCAATGTAATAGTACTACATCTGCCAGCACACACACACACACACACACACACACACACACACACACATATATATAATTGAGTTATGAGTAAACTCGGACAGCTCTGTAGTGTGAATGGGGAAGGTGGTAAGATTAAAAACATCAGCGTACAAATATTAAAATTTCCTTAAAAACAAACACATACCAATCTAACCTAATTTCCCATATGGCAAAGTAAATGAATGAATGTATGAATGAATAAATAAATAAAAGAATAAATAAGTGATCAATATATAGTTCAATGAAATACATTTTTGAAATAGAAAATATTTTTAGTTTCAACACTCATACTGTATACCAAAATATATTACAAAATGTATTTCAGGGGCAAGAAAATACATTTCCAATCTCAGAGTAGCAGTAGTTTGAATTTAATTCAAATGTGTTATATGTTCATACGTTTTACAGACAACAAAGTTTTTCTTCAAATGTGACACATGCAAAGCTATTTTCTTGCTTTGAAATATATAGCGCAAAACATATGTTTTATATGTTTTTAATATATTTATATTTTTAGAATATATTTTCAAAATACCCCCCCCCCCCAAAAAAATAAATAAATAAATAAATACATACATACATACATACATACATACATACATGGAATTTAAAAAGGCCAAAATTTATTTTTGAACATATTTTAGCAAATATATTTTTGGCCATTTTTTTGTGTATATTTTGAAATGCTGTATGGGTTGTTCAATTATTATTTTCTTTTTTAATAAATCTTAAGATTAAAAAATATATATATTGAAATACCTTAAGAAGCTAAATAATTATATTAAAATATATAAATAATCTTATTTAAATATTTTAAATGGGAAAACAAAAATAAGTAATCAAATCGATATTCACCATCATTTTTAAGGCTATCAATTTAATGTGATAATTTGGTACACTAATCATAAAAAATGCTAAATTAAAGCAACTTAATATTTCAAGAGTGAAATATAATATAAAATATAAAACAGCATATTAAAGTCGACATGAACTAACTGCTAGATGGAGCACAACAAAACAAAAAAGAAAGCAGAGGTCTCAAGACCTAAAACTGAACTACTTCATTTGACACAGTGTGTCACTTTGCGTCTCACAGTCTTAAAAACAGAGCATTCATTGTACAAGTCAAAGAAAAACAGCTCCGTACTATGCTGTCTAACACATGTGACCAATTATTAAAAATGATTGCAGACAGAATACAAGAATGTGCTTTCTGTACAAGACCCCCAAGTATATATACACTGTTCCAGAATGAATTGTTGTGGACTGTCAGTGATAGAATTGTTAACTGATGGACAGTCCTATTTATTATGAAACATACACTTATTCAGACAGGGTTTGCAGAACTGCTTTACATTGCCAGCTTTCTACTGAAAATTCTGTCTCTTTCATGAGCATCCTTACATCATAAAATACAAATACAACACAAACAACAACAACAACACACACACACACACACACACACGCACACACACAAACAGAAGTGTGGCTCAGTGTTTTCACCTGTTTGGTGCTGCGTTCAAACACCACATACTGCTGACACTGATCCAAACGCCGCTTCTTCATGGTCCAGAAATGCAGAACTCTGTTTTCCCTCTGTAGCAGTTCATTCAGGATGACTGTTCAAACACCACACAAACACACACACACACACACACACACGACAAATGCTTAACATGAATGAATGAATGACTGGATAAACGAAGCATGTTTTGTGAGAGAGAAGCTAAGAAATGCTGAAAATATGAAAAGATGGACACACAGTTATCAGATTCTGATAGCTTTGAAGCTCTGACCTTTGACCTGCTGCTGAGGGCCGCGCGTGTTGCTGGATGATCCCTGAGTGCTGACGTTATTCCGATGGATGTATTTCAGAAACACCTCAGCATTTCGCCTGGCCAGAGTACACGCCTGAAAAACACGGCAGACTTTACAGATCCAAAAACAGACCCTCACATGCACACCAAATTATGCCCAAATATTGTGTCTGCTCCTCTCTAAGATGCAGGAGACCCGTTTGTGACTGTTGGTAACTTCATCTGGGCTGACTGATACTGATAGAGAGGTCGCTGTTCAGTGGTGACCTTGAGAAAAGCCTCTTTCTGCTCCAGGTGTTTGCTGATGAGCGGCAGCACATGATCCGTCTCTGCTGAAGACCCCAGTTTATCATGAGCTCCACACCAGTCCTCGTCTCTGCGGTACTCCTGCTCCAGACTCTCCAGCACGCTGCACACCTGTGAATAAGCCATTCGTGTGACATTTAGCATGACGCAGGGCTCGGGAGCTAGCTGTCACTGCCGTGTCACTAGCTGGTCAGATATCATGGATATAAATAATCATTTTCTCTTCATTCAAAACTGCCACCAGCCCTTGTGAATAGAAGTACACTTCAGCATACTTAGTACTTAGTATGAAAAGTTCTTCTCCTTTATATTTAAGTGCAAACTGAAATTAAAGTTTCGGGCATTTAATTGCATGTTATTTACAATTAAATCAAAACGCATTATAGTTAAAATGTATAATAAATGAAATAATTTTAACTTTGTTGAAATGCTTTTTGGACCCACTTTAGTAGGACTTATTCTGTATTCTGTAATTTTATAATTACATTGTCTTTCGAATATGGTTAGGTAAGCTAACATAATCTAATGCAACTTAACTAGTATGCCATGTATTTTTAAATATATTTGTTATTACATCTCATGTAATGATAATGATGAAGTTGCAATTTAGTACGTTAAATATATTAAGTTTAAATATAATATCAAAATAATATGCTACAGTTAAAAATATAATAAAGTACTTTACATGTGTTTTAGTATGCATTTAGTTTGAAGTGCACTGTTAAAAATGAATAAACAGCATCATACTGTGTTTCTACACTGCAGATGTACGATGAAGGCACCCAGCATGCAATGCAGCATGAATAGAGTTTATTTTTAAATTTTTTTTTATTCTTGTTGGTTTTATTTGTGCCATTGAAATTGTTTTTGGTTAACTTTTAGCAGTTTGTGTTCTTAGTTTATTTTGTAATGTTGGTTTATGTTTTTATTTGTTGAATTGTAGTATTTTGTATGCCGAGTATTGATGCCACGACGTTTCCCAGCAGATGCCTCACTATTGTGAAAGATCCATCCACAAACAGTTATGAATATGAAATAAATTATTGATTAATCTTCATGCTTGAATAAAATCTTCACGTTCATGCTACAAATAGTTTGACTAACTTAAAGTCAGGCAATGAGCTTATTTCATATTCTAGCTTGTCGTCATTTTGACAAATGTTTTCATTTGTCACACTTCCGATCAGAATTTTGAATATGGATATACAAGGTCCAAGATCCCAAACAAATGCTAATCACTAACCACTATTATGGTGACTTCAAAACAATTACAGCAGTAAACGACTGCATTTCTCACAGTGTTAAAGACCACTTTATAATGTGAATTCACAGTAAAACAAGAGCAGTAAGTTACTGTGATGTTAGCATCATCCTGCTGTTCATTCACAGTTGTAAGAAAATGACCCAGCATGCACTGATTTCATAGTCAATTTCTGACTACAGTAATTTATTGTAAAATAATACTCTTTAATCCTGTAAATTACTGGCATTTTTTTTTTACACTGTACACTACAAGTGCACATTCAACAATTAAGCACACTTTTTTCACATTGGTAATGTGCCATTGAAACTAGTCTTGGGACACTTGACCGTCTTGTAGTAAGTCTTCTAGGGTTGAAACAGTCATATGGTGAAGTGGACTGTTGGGTGTTTCTCAGCACCTGTTCGGATGTCTTGTAGAAGGCTACAGAGGCGTTAACCAGCTTGAGTCTGTCCTCCATCTTCAGCATGAGCTGCTGCCAGTGTACTGCCACCTTCTCAGCACAGCTGCGGATGGCCTCAGGGTCGAAGTGTCCGGCCTGTAACATGATCTCGGCCTTCTGCTGCACCTGCAGTGCGCTCTGATGGGTCTTCTGAAGAGAGTTAGCATGAAACAGAGACTGCAGGGAGAGAAAAAAAGAGAGAACAGCATGTTAAATATACCTTAGCTTGGAGGGTACATTACATTAAGTCATTTAGCAGACGCTTTTATCCAAATGAGGACAATGGAAGCAATCAAAATCAACAAGAGAGCAATGATATGCAAGTGCTATAACAAGTCTCAGTTAGCTTAACGCAGTGCACATAGCAAGGGTTTTATTTTTAAGTTAACAATTCATAATAGACTATTACACAGTATGCAGCTACATAGTGTGCAGCATGTAGGGAGCACTGTGCTGGTGTTCCATTCTGAACATCGCCAATAATTCCACATGTTCTGCAAAAAGGAGGACACGTTTGAATTTAATAAACTCTTAAATCACAAGCATTAAAGGAGACAGATGATTAAAAGTGAGCAACTATTAGAGTGGATCATTTGAGCATCTTTTACAGTACACCGCTGACAGCTTTAGGTTTTCTACAGTCAAACGCCGGCCTGTGTTCTGTCTGCTGGCATTGTCATGATGAAGGAAAAAATAAATCTAACTTTAATAGTCAGCTACAGTCATTTACCAGCAGAGTTGAGCAGGTAGAACCTCGTCCAAAGCAGGAAATAGAGACCAATGCCAAATCCTGTGATAAATGACATGACTACTGTACTGAGAGATAAAGACTGATAGCAGAAAGCATGATGCATTCCTTTGCTTTGCTTGCCTGGGACAAAAGAAAAAAAAATCTGTGCTGATAGTAAATATTATTTGGCAGAATCTGGCCCTGTATCGCCAAGTTTACGCAGCGCTCTCAAAAGAAAAAGCCGTGAGCAGCTCTAGACTCTCTGTGGGTCATAAATCCTTCAGGAGAATGTTATGATCCCTGTGTGAAATTTTATGAATGAACGATTCCTGCTGGATCTGTTTGGAGTATTCTGAGAGTAATCACTTCCATACATCTCTCAGTGTTAAACTGAATGCTGAGTTCACAGAGACGGAAGGTTTTTGACTAAAAGTGAAGTGAGAGCAGAGGAGATGCGATATTATCGACTGTGCAGACACATTTTATGTTGATAGATGTTGATATGTAAATGTGAATGTGCTTTTTGAACATTTCAGACTCCATAAGCGGTCGTTCTGGACTGGCGAGGGATTTTTAGTGCATGTTTGAGTGTGTCTACATAGCACATCAAACTACTCCTGTTTTTCTTTTTCCTTTATATGACCATTAAAAAAAGAACACGAGAGATTGAAGTGGAGAGAAAGAGAGGTGGGGGAATGAACTTCAGTTATTTCATCTGTGTAAAGGTCAGGGCTGAAGCGATGTTACTATAGATGTCTCACAGATAAAAGTTATACAAAAATGTTCAGAATGTACAGAGATAGAAACAGAGACAATGAGGGATAGAGCCTGTGTGTGTGTGTGTGTGTGTGTGTGAGTGTGTGTGTGTTTACCTCTATCGCGAGCTGGAACTGCTCATGCTCTCTCTGTAGTTGTTCGGCCTCTGACAGTGAACTTGCGTTCACCATACTGGCATCCAACATAGACTCACCGTTACGAATCCAACCCAGAACCTAAACAACACGCAATACAATGAACACAACTTCAGAAATGTTTTTGTACATTTAACTGCATGCAGTATTAATTGCAATAAAATAAAAATGTATTACAGTTTACATTTATATTAATTGCATTTAGCTGAACTTTAAAGTGCTTTTGACACACTTAAGTAGAACTTAAATACATCCTTATATGCAATTTCATAATTCTAATTTCTTTGAAATATGGTTAATGTGTGCTGACAAGCATTTATGGTAAATCAAAATATACTTTAATGTCATTTCTATTGAAACTTGTACGTCATGTATTTAAATATATTTTAATTACACATTTGTAATGGTGAAGTTGCAATTTAGTACATTTAAATTAAATTATTAAGTCTACATGTAATATCAAATAACACTACAGCTAGAATTATAATCAAGTACTTTACATCTGCTTTAGTATGTTAGTCAACAACAAAATAAGTATACTTAATCTATCTATCTATCTATCTATCTATCTATCTGTCTGTCTGTCTGTCTGTCATCTATCTCTTCATATGCATTAAGTGCACACAGAATTAAGTGTTGGGTAAGGTTAGGTTGAATCATCTGCATGATATTACACTGAAATAGCGTAGCGTGCTCATAGGTAATCCTTTGATAAAAGGGGAGCGCAGCTCAGCACTACCACGAGAACCGCCCATGGAGCGAGGAATCCAACTCCTCAGAGAGAATTAAACGCTTGAAAGAAAGCACCATGCTCACAATAACCCTCAATGGTGAGGGGAGCGATGCTTCCAGAGTGTGTCG